GAGCACGCATGAACACATCAACATGAAACAGATCAGCAGCAACATTGAAACAGATCAGCAGCAACACTGAAACAGATCAGCAGCAACAATGAAACAGATCAGCAGCAACATTGAAACAGATCAGCAGCAACATGATGTGATTTTTTCACAGTGATTATTCTGGTTAGAGATTCATGAGTCTAACAGCCTCAGGGTAGAAGCTGTTCCTCAGTCTAGTGGTTCTACACTTAATGCTCCTCAACCTCCTTCCTGAGGGGAGTGGGGCAAAAAGTGTGTGCTGGGTGAGTGGGGTCCTTCATGATGCAGGTGGCCCTCTTCCTGCATCTGGAGGTGTAGATGTCTGTGATGGTGGGGAGGCTGACTCCAACAGATTTCTGTGCAGCCTTCACCACTCTCTGCAAAGCTTTTCTTTCTGCAGCTGTGCAGCCTCCATGCCACATGTTGATGCTGGAGCACAGGATGCTCTCCATTGCACACCTGTAGAAGGAGGTGAGGACTGAGCTTCCCAGACCAGCTCGTCTCACCCGCCTGAGGAAGTAGAGTCTCTGATGAGCTTTCTTGATCAGGCTGGAAGTGTTGTTGCCCCAGCTGAGGTTGTCATTCATGTGTACACCCAAGTACTTGTAGCTGGAGACCACTTCCACTGCAGATCCTCTTATGTTTAGGGGGGTGTAGGTGTTTTTGTTCCTTCTCAAGTCCACAATCATCTCCTTTGTCTTCTTCACATTGATGTGAAGGTTATTCTCTTTGCACCAGCTCTCCAGGTGTTCCACCTTTTGCCTGTAGCTGGACTTATCATTGTTTGTGATGCATCCCACCACCGCTATATCATCTGCAAACTTTACAATGTGACAGCCTGGATGGGTAGCTGCACAGTCATACGTGAGCAGAGTAAACAGGAGGGGGCTCAACACACATCCCTGAGGAGAGCCAGTGCTGAGGGTTATGGTGGAGGAGGAGAAGTTGTTGATCCTCACAGACTGTGGTCTGTTTGTTAAGAAGTCTAGTACCCAGTTGCAAATGGAGGGGCTTAGTCCTAGTGTGAGTAGTTTGTCCATCAGGGTTTGGGGGATCATGTTGTTGAAGGCAGATGTGAAGTCCACAAAGAGCATACGGACATAAGAGTTTTTCTGCTCCAGGTGGTTGAGCGCACTGTGGATCACAGAGGAGATGGCATCCTCTGTTGATCAGTTCTCACGGTATGCGTACTGATGAGGGTCCTAGGTTAGGGATCCTAGGTCCTAGGTTAAGGTTAGGGATCATGCAGATTGGTGATGTTAATGTTAGCAGTGCTAGTTCAATTCAGCCCCCACTAGTAACTGTGGGGTTCAATGTCTCACCCCCACTATAAACTAGTGGTTTTGTTATTTAATTCTGTTAGTTTTCTCAGTTTTGTTTTCATGCTTTCATACTGTATTTGCTCAACCATGTTTGAGTCCAGTTCGAAGGAGTGTGTTTTGAAAACGTAGGATTTTCAATGTTGTAACTACGGACTCAAGACCAGTCCAGATGGCCATCGAGTCACTACAAACCAAATCCATGAGCCATCAGAAGAAACTTTGATGGGGCCAGCCTTGACACCATGGTAATTATTGTGGACTAAGTCTTGAAGAACAAAGTTAAGAGGTGTCAGATGACACCCTCCTAGGTCAATGAAGAAAATGAATTATATTCCAAAGAGAATGCTTAGTTTTTGGAGGAGTTCCAACCAGTCAAAGTCTTGTGACATCCTTGGTAGCGATGAGGGAAAAACAACGATCCAGCAGGCATAGCAATAGATCCAAAGTGGAAGCACTCGATCCAAAGCGAAACCAAACAAAGGTCCTGTCAGCAAAGCAAACAGGCAGTTGACACCTTAGCGATCCAAGCAGGTGTCAGAATGAAGGTATCCTGTGGTAGGTGCCACCAGTTGGCACAGTGGAGTGAAGATGGTGGAGTATTCCCAGTGAATACTCATATCTTGAAGAAGAACCAGGATGAAGGAAGTCCTGATGTCATCATATGGATACCAAGGACTGGATCAGCAGGAGGCATGGAAGGTCCAGATGTCATCATGGTGGTGGTCCACCCAAATGACATTGCAACCTTAGACTGGTTATTATTGATGCATCTAATTTTTTTATAGTCAAAGTAGGAAAATGAAGAGGACAGAGTCTAGCTTAAAATGTTTAAATGGTTCTTAAACATTTACTTAATTTAACAACTTGAATAAAAATACAGTTCATCAAAAATGTAATGTAAAGTTTTAAACTAAACGATTTTATGTTTGACTACTGATTGTGATCAAAAATAATGATTCAAAAATACTTGAAATCAAAGGTTTTGGAATGCTATAATAAGCAGCGATTCTCCAATGATGAAATAACCGTTATCTTTACACGCTTTTTCGGTCAGAACTTATGAGAGAAGTCGTTTCTCTGGTAAATTTTCTGAAGTAGAACTCATAAAAGGTGTCGTTATAAACAGTGTTTGAGCATCTCTTTTGAAAATGTGGCTTCAGAACTAAACTTGGCAACCAGTTAACCGACAACAATCCAAATAGATCCCAAAACAACTTGGACTTCAGTCTAGCTCAACAATCACTTCATGATTTTGGAGCACAACAAGGTTAGGGATCATGCAGAGTGGTGATGTTAATGTTAGCAGTGTTAATTCAATTCATGGAAGTTGATAAGATCTTCATCGGAAAATGCAGGGTCGATGAACACAACACTGTGTTTTGGTTCTGCCTTTTCAGATGCTTTGTTCACGGTCATGGAACCGTTTTGTGCTTTATCTGTGCTTTTTATTGGACCTATGACGTTGAGGTCAAAGGTCATGTTTGAGAAAAGTGTTATGGACTCAGCAGCTGTTGGTGGATCCAGAGGACAAAGAATGTTGTTTTCAGGTGGAAACTGTTCCAACAGTTGTTTTGGCTGGGTGTTTGTGACCACAGTCTTGGAGGGAGCATCTTTTAGATGATCATCACCTGTCTGGTCTATGGATTCAGTTTGGTTTGCATTCGAGTTCACTGCGGTTTCCAGCACATCATAACATGGATGGAACTGTTGAGGCAATGAAATTGGCAGAGGTGTTTGTACCTGTGCCCACATCTTCAGGGTTTGAAAGCAGATTAACGGCATTAGCCTGTCAAGAAAATAATTTCCATTAAGAAGAGGGACCGATTTAAGGTCTGAGATGTACACAGGGTGTACCAGGGTCATATGACCAATGGAGATCTGATTAGTGCCACTAAGGACAAAATTGTGTTAGCTGAAGAGTACGACTGTACCTTCATGTTGCAAGATTGAACTTTCAGTTCTTTTGTTTGCAACGTCTGTAGCGTTATGCAAGGATTCAAAAAGATCTGCGGACATGAGTGTCAAGTCCGAGCCAGTGTCAAGACGTGTGTCGTGCATTATCACATCTTCTAGATTCAGAGGTGCGTAAAACTTCTGTGCTGCACCTTTTTTGGTGAGATGACTAAGAAACTGCAGGACTAGGGGGGTTCAACTTGGATTGCAGGATCCTCCACAGCCGAGGGCTGGTCCTCTAGATTCTTTGCCACAACCATAACTGCACTCGACTGGTTTGAGTCCACAGTTTTCGGTGGTGGGTTTGCAGGTAGAGCTTCCTTGTTCTCTCCCCTGATGGGTGGAGAAGAGGTAGCTATAATGCCTGTGGGAGGACCTGAGTCCTTCACCACTATGGTGATTGAAAGAACACTCTTTCCCCCATTTTCATCTGTTTTTGCAGATTTTAGTAGGCATTTGATGTCATCAATATCTCATTAAGTAAGAGAAGAAGACTTACCTTTCCTCTCTTTCTTCATGTTCTGGTCCCACTCGGACTTTGAAGCTTTTCCAGATCCTCTCTGGTTGGGAGGTAACAGTGATCTGTCCTCACATCTGTGATGGTCCTGTGATCTGTAGTCACGACCCCTGTAGGAGTCATATTGACCGTTTAGATCAGGCAACCACCTGTCCCTTCAAGAGGTTCAATCAGGTGACCATCTGTCCCTCCGAGGAGGCATGTGGTATCTCTGTCATTCATTTTGCGGACTAGACCATCTCTTGGTTGGCCTTTGGGCTTTGGTACACTGTTCTGTGGCCTTGGGGGACTCCTCAAGCTCTAAGGAATGAGGGTATGCATTCAGAGTAAACACACGTTCAGATGTGACGTGTTATGGCTCATCCAATCTGTATAGCTCAAAAGCTTTGCAGGCCATTTCTCTCAGCTCAAATATATTCAGCTTTAGATCTGCGTGTATACCAAAGAGGTGTTTGATGTTGGGATGGAGATTATGAATAAACAGTTCTTTAAAGTATTTATTCTCTTCCATTCCCACTTCATTTCGTGACCCAAAAAACGCATGAAGGAGGTGGTTGTAGTAAATGCAAGGATTTTCTTTTAGACCCTGTTTGATGTCTAGAGCATGAATTAAACCAGATGGACCTGCTGGTAATTGATATTCCTTCTCCAATGCGTTGCAGAGGAGGGAGTAGTCACTTTGGATTAACTTTGTTTGACGTTTAATAAAGCCATGCACCTTTCTGCTGGAGGTGAGACTGATCAGGTAGATCTTGTCAGATAATGTGGTGTCTGGAAAACACTTGAAAAACTCACCCAAGTCCTGGATGTACATTTGAGCATTATCATTACCATCAAAGTCAAACTTTTCATAACCCTTTGCAAAACTATGCAGATTGTTGTATAATGTGATCTTTTTTTGCTATGCTCTGACATGAAATATTTCTCTGTGTCTGGTAAACCCCCCCCTGCAAAATCATGATATACATCATATAAGTTCATGATCTGCGTAACTCCTTGTACAAAGAGGACCAGACTACTGTTATCTTGCCAGAACAGATCACAGTCAGCTGGGGCAGTGGGCGAAAAAACAAGACCATGCCAGACCACACCCAGGAACATCAGCTGCCCCAGAGAATAACATCATGATAAGGAAATCCCAATGTAACTGATAAGGCTGTATTTAAACGAAGCAAATACATTTGTAACTCAGACGTGTTGGGTGGATGTAAGGTGCATGTCAGGCGTCTCCCTTTTCAGCGCTGTGAAGGTAAAATAAATCTTTGTCTGAATTCAGAACCACTTCTCAGGCTGTGTTTTTGACTCTGTCTTCCTTCCACTGAACGATCTCAGGTTGAGGCAGTTTTGAGCTAAGTGTTTGAAAGTTGGTTCTTATAGTTTTAAAGACCTCAACAAGATCCTTGAATGTAGGTCTTAATATGCCTTTAGATTCTGCATTGTGTTTGGAATGTGGTGCAGTATTGTCAGCAGATCGGCTGTGTTTGCCATCCTGGAGGCCATCTCTAAAGATGGCTTCACTTGAGTTTTGTTTCTTCATTTCATTTTGAAGATGTGCAATTTTATCATCTCTTCGCTGGAGTTTTTGTTTGAGAATGTTAATTATCGCTTTTAGCTGTTCAAGTTGTTTGTTCTCTTCCCTTAAACGTTCATTTTCTAGTTCAAGTTTACTTAACTCATCTATGCTATGAGCTTCAAGTGTTTGAAGTTGACTTCCCAGCGTCTCAACCTCTTTACATAACCTTACGTTATCAATTGAACACACCTTCATGCTGTTCAAAACTTGATCTAACTCAAATTGGTCTGGCAGTGAGTCTTCACTGAGAGTTGTGTAGCTTCCATCAAAGCTACATTGATCAGATATTTCCTGTTTCTCAGCCATTGTGAGTTATGTTTAAAACAGTGAAAAGTTTGTTGAAGTAACCCTTTTGGTTTTCATTTAATACTGATCGAGCATAGAAAAACAAAAATAATTTAATAATTGTTATGTTTAAAGCACCGTTTATTATGAAATTTTAAATGTCTTTTTTAGTATTAAAAATAATAATGTGAAGTGTTATGTTGTGATGTTCAACTGCAGGTGCAGTACCTATTTTATCCACTAGGTCAGATCTAGAGCTCTACCGCTTAGAGTTAGGTACGACCCAAGAAGAAGACATTAGTATTTGGTAGCTTGAAAGCTAACAGTTTAAACTCGGTCCGGTGTCACACAAACAGAATCAAATATAAAATAAATCATCTCTTTGTTCCTCAAAGCAGCACTGTAGCGACAAATGGACGCACGAGTAAGTTTTAATCCATTCACATTAAAACTTTTAGTGCATGTTGAGCGCGTTATAGGTTTCGTAACTCTTCGGAAATCTCCGTAGCACTTCGGATCAGTAAGAATGGATCCAGCTGCGGTTCCGCTCCTGGACTGGGTCGGAATTGTTTTACAACGCGTCTCTTGACGGTTAACCTGTGTCACGCAGATGAAAGCATACTTCGGATTAATCGCAAGTGTATTTACTGTTTATTCAGCCACTGAATAGATCAACATTATCGCACGAAGCAAGCTTGTTATTGTAACGGAAAACTGACGGAGGTACACTAAGGCAAAATTCACTCTTGGAGCAGGAATTATTTCAGTTTTATACACGCATGAATTTAGACAAAGTTTGGCTATTTTAATAAATAGTTTGGATTTTGGTTGAAATAAGTTATTTAATCTGATCAGATGACGTCATTTATTATCACCGCAAGCCAGGAAATGATTTACCAAGTTGCATCAGCTTAAAATAACGTTGCAGAAACATGTTACGCCAGTCTTGCACAACGCCCTGTTGCGTTGCATCATTTTGTTTTGCTTTGCTCAGCTCATTTTAGCACCGTTTTGTGTTGATTTGACCATTTTTACTTGTTTTAATTTGTTGCTCTGGGTCAGCTGGTTCCCAGCTCTGTCCTTTGCTCTGGCCTGCCTTGGCTTTCACAGCCTGTTCATCCATTTTATTTTATTTTTTTTAACAGTTGATTAAAAAGTTAGTTAAGCGTTAAGGAGCACAGAGGTTGAAGAAGTGACAGGAAACTCAGCAGGCGTAGGCTTCACACACATCCTGTTCGACATAGACACAAATACACCCCTGGCTTATGGCATAAGATGTCATGGTCAACAGCAGGGCTATTCAACCAAATTGTTCAGTGTCCAACAGTTACTGAAAGCCAAGAGCTCAGGGGCCGGACATCCAGCATTTATTCTCATTAAGGTTGTTTTACGATTTAAAATATATTTTTATTTAAAAATAAACACATTGGTTGGGCTGAACTGAGCACACCCATGGGCCTGATTTGGCTCCCGGGCCGCCAATTGAATAGCCCTGCTCTATAATATCAAAAGCTTTCAGGGTAAGGGATAAGGGTGCAGAAGGAGTATGTTAGTGTCTGGTCGAATCTTCCCTTAAATTCTGCCTAAGAGGGCCTGGCACTGTCTGGGTCAGACTCAGGAGGCTAGGGAGGTCCATACCTCATTTTGACAGAGGGCTGGAAGAGTTCTACACCCTGGGATAAAAACAGTGTGTATGTATATGTGAGGCCCATATTATCTTTTATTTGCAATTCTTAACTATTAGCCATATTTAGTTCCATTTGTTTAATTTCATATTTTTGTTCCAGGCTGAAGGTGTTATTCCCTTGTGTGCTGTGGGTGAACCCTGACCTCTGGAAAACCTCAGCCTTGGCTGAACATTTATTTTAAGCATTATTACTGCCTCCATTAAAGGAAATGATTTTAACATAGTCCAACATTTTTCATCAGGTCATCTGGACAGTTTCCTTTTTTTTTTTTTTGTGCTGAAACGTTTTGCCTTCGGTCCGGAAGGCTTCATCAGTCAAGGAAAACACAACAAAACTGATTCTTCCCCCAACAGCTTACTCCAAAGTGGAACAAACCAGTTCTGCTTGTGATAAGATGGTCTCTTTGGTACGCCCCCTTCTCCATTGCCGGCCCTCTTCCTTGTGTGTTTCCTTGACTGATAAAGCCTTCTGGACCGAAGGCGAAACGTTTCAGCACAAAAAAAAAAGAAACTGTCCAGATGACCTGACTGAAACATGTTGGATTGTATACCTGGATTATTGAGCATGGACTTTGTTATTTTAACATAGAGTTATATTGTATCTTTGAACACCATCTCACGCTTTCTTTGTAAACGAGCCTAAGTGCCTTTTGTACTTTTGGTATATAAATTATTTTCTTGGGTGAAAGTCCTAAAGTGGTGTTGCTATAAAAAAAAACCAAAAAAAAAACCAAACAAACAGTAAAAAAACATTCATACTCCAAAGCTTGCTACACTAATAAGTCATTGAGGACAAAAAAAAAAGTACATTGGGAACCAGTTCTCTGCACTCATGAGACAAAAAAGGAAACTGGCAAGAACCGGGTTTTGTGATTTGAACCAGATCACAGACCATAGAACGTTTTAATAAACTGCTTCTGGTGGAGGTCTTGGTCCGTGAACTTTGGTACAGAGCTGAGCAGTGAGCAGCAAGGAGGGAGATCCAAACAGCAGGTGAGACAGGTGAGGTTGATACACAGGTGATCGGAGGTCCGAAGCCAAACGTGAGACGAGATCCAGAAGTCGAGGTCGTTATAGAGGAAGCAGAGGTCATTACCTTGAGCAGAGCAGATAATCCAAGACAGGGAACAAGCAAGGTGAGGAATCTGTGAAGCAGGCATGAGGTCAAAACCAGGAAGACAACAAGACTGGCATGAACGCTGGACATTTACTCACTGTGAGGTTTTCAATAATCTGCCACTGGAGGACTGAGAACCTGAAGCTTAAATAGGGCAGGGAACAGGTGAGCGGCATGAAGGCTCCATGTCACGCATCAAGCGGACGTGACATGGAGTGAAATGAGCAGGCATAGTTGAAGGATGGGTGATAGGCAAAACTGAGCTTGGCAGAATAAACAAGGCATGAGGGACAGAAACTGGCAGGCAGGGGCAGAAACGTGACAGAAACAACAAAGTTGATCAAAATTAAGAAATAGGTTCCAACACCATAAAAGAAGCGCATTTTTTCCCCTCAGATACTGTATCTCCATTAGAGTAGATGGCAGATGAAAAGAAAAAAATAAATAAAAGGAGGAAACTTTGCAGCCAAGAAAAATAAACATTCTTTTAGAAATGATTTGAATTTGGGAAATCCAAATATTGAAATCAATTCCAATGTTGGTATTGGATCAGTGATGGCATCAACGTTCTGTCTTGGTTAATTCCTCTTCTTTCAATACGTTGCTCCCTTTCCATGAATATGACTTGCCTGTGCAATATTTTGTGCCTCTCACTTTTCTGTTTGCAGCATGTCTCATCACAAGGCCCAGCAACTTTACAATGAGCGAATGATGGCACAGAGAAAGATGAGCATCGTTTGGACCAGTTTTACAGCTGTAAATGAAATATTGCAATCTGTGCAATGACAGCATTTGCTACTGTGGCGACACTACCAATTTATTTAAACTGAGCAAAGAGGAGGGAAATCCCATGACACAGAGGCAGAGCTCACTGACACAGTAATTTCAGAGAGGAGCATATCCAGGTATTTTATATATTGTTGACAGTAATGTTTCTATCATAAATGAAGTCTGATATCCATTATTAGTAAATTTCCAAATTACAATTGGTCATCTGTCATATTTTTAAGGGCTGATTATTAACTGCATTTATAAATTCAATATGTTCAGCTCTTTGAAATGTGTTAATTTTATTGCAACTGAAAAAAGGTATTGTATCTGAAACCTAAAATGTGAAAATAATTAAATGTAATAACCGTTTGGGTTAATTGTGAAAGACACAATATATTGAGCCTAATTCAACATAGACTACTGAATTAATTTTTTTTTTTTTTAACCTAGATGTTTCACCAAAAGATATGGAGATTACAGAGAACTCTACTGAAATGACAACAAAGGACCTACAACAGCTTTCTGTGGTGGAACCAAGAAGAATGTAAGTTTTATACCATTGAAACAGAGATACACTGGCCAACCAAAGTTTAGTTTACGTAGTTTGTTTGTTATATGCAGGTCAACACAAGGTTTTTCACAGGGTTCCTTTTCATGAACTATACTACGAGAGGATGGGAGCCAGGTGATTTCTCTTCCCATCCATTATGACAGGCAGAACTAGCACATGAGTAGACTTTAAGATTGTAGAAAAAGAACGGCCTTTTTCTAACAAGTCCTATAAAAATGTGAGAACATCTGTTATGATGCTGAGGAAAGGAATAATGTTTCTCCTGACACAAAGCTTCACACACACACAGCATTTTAGCGTGTATATTATCTGTGTGGATTGTGCTCTGACACTCTGACTAGAGTCCACCACATTACTGGGAAGACCCAAGGTTATTAACTTCTCCCTCTCAGGAGTCAAACCCAGTTTCCAGATCCCTGGGTGTGGATGCCAAATTTGGCCATGCGCCTGAGTTAAGAAAGCTTTGCACACTGGAAGATGCCATAGCTCTCCATCCAGTAGTGCCATTATTTCTGCAAACCAGGTTTTCCTGGGCCATCAGGGAGTTACAGGTCCTTCTCAAAAAATTAGCATATTGTGATAAAGGTCATTATTTTCCATAATGTAATGATAAAAATGAAACTTTCATATATTTCAGATTCATTGCACACCAACTGAAATATTTCAGGTCTTTAATTGTTTTAATACTGATGATTATGGCATACAGCTCATGAAAACCCAAAATGCCTGTCCCAAAAAATTAGCATATCATGAAAAGGTTCTCTAAACAAGCTATTAACCTAACCATCTGAATCAACAACATAACTCTAAACACCTGCAAAAGATTCCCGAGGCTTTTAAAAACTCCCAGCCTTGTTCATTACTCAAAACCGCAATCATGGGTAAGACTGCCGACCTGACTGCTGTCCAGAAGGCCATCATTGACACCCTCAAGCAAGAGGGTAAGACACAGAAAGAAATTGCTGAATGAATAGACTGTTCCCAGAGTGCTGTATCAAGGCACCTCAGTGGGAAGTCTGTGGGAAGGGAAAAGTGTGGCAGAAAACGCTGCACAACGAGAAGAGGTGACCGGACCCTGAGGAGGATTGTGGAGAAGGGCCGATTCCAGACCTTGGGGGACCTGCGGAAGCAGTGGACTGAGTGTGGAGTAGAAACATCCAGAGCCACCGTGCACAGGTGTGTGCAGGAAATGGGCTACAGGTGCCGCATTCCCCAGGTCAAGCCACTTTTGAACCAGAAACAGCGGCAGAAGCGCCTGACCTGGGCTACAGAGAAGCAGCACTGGACTGTTGCTCAGTGGTCCAAAGTACTTTTTTCGGATGAAAGCAAATTTTGCTTGTCATTCGGAAATCAAGGTGCCAGAGTCTGGAGGAAGACTGGGGAGAAGGAAATGTCAAAATGCCAGAAGTCCAGTGTGAAGCACCCGCCGAAATGCCAGAAGTCCAGTGTGAAGCACCCACAGTCAGTGATGGTCTGGGGTGCCCTGTCAGCTGCTGGTGTTGGTCCACTGTGTTTTATCAAGGGCAGGGTCAATGCAGCTAGCTATCAGGAGATTTTGGAGCACTTCATGCTTCCATCTGCTGAAAAGCTTTATGGAGATGAAGATTTAATTTTTCAGCACGACCTGGCACCTGCTCACAGTGCCAAAACCACTGGTAAATGGTTTACTGAACATGGTATTACTGTGCTCAATTGGCCTGCCAACTCTCCTGACCTGAACCCCATAGAGAACCTGTGGGATATTGTGAAGATAAAGTTGAGAGACGCAAGACCCAACACTCTGGATGAGCTTAAGGCCGCTATCGAAGCATTCTGGGCCTCCATAACACCTCAGCAGTGCCACAGGCTGATTGCCTCCATGCCACGCCGCATTGAAGCAGTCATTCATGCAAAAGGATTCCCAACCAAGTATTGAGTGCATAACTGAACATGATTATTTGAAGGTTGGCGTTTTTTGTATTAAAAACACTTGTCTTTCATTGGTGGGATGAAATATGCTAATTTTTTGGGACTGGCATTTGGGTTTTCATGAGCTGTATGCCATAATCATCAGTATTAAAACAATTAAAGACCTGAAATATTTCAGTTGGTGTGCAATGAATCTGAAATATATGAAAGTTTCATTTTTATCATTACATTATGGAAAATAATGACCTTTATCACAATATGCTAATTTTTTGAGAAGTACCTGTACTGTGCACACTGTCCAGTGTGGGCTAGATTAGTGCCACTGGTGGAAATGTGTAAAGGTGTGTAGCTGGCCAGCAGTGCACTAGCGCGTCTATGCTGAGAAAGGCGTTTGTGTCCTTATGGCGAAAAACATAGGCCACTGTGCTTGTTCCTTAGAAGCGAACAGATCTACGTGGGCTGTGCTGAATCAATCCCAGATCTGTTGCACTACCTTCGTGTGAAGGTGCCATTCTCTTGCCAGTGGGAGACTTCTGGCGAGCGCATCTGCTCTGTGGTTCAGCACTCCTGGGACGTGTGTTGCTCTGAGTGATAGTAGGCATGTGTTCTGCACTATTATAACAAGCGTTGTGTCAGGCAGAGGAGGGGTAGCGAATGTGTGCTCCACTGCTTGTCTAGAGCAACTTAGTTGTCGCTGCACACCAACACATGCTGATGAGAAAGCAGCCCCATTGTGCTGAAATGTTTCAGCGAGAGAAAAACTGCCATAATCTCTAACCAATGTTCTCTACAATTTTTCATGTGTCTGGGCAAACACACAAGCTCCCTGAGCACACTGAGGACCACTGTGAGCAACATCAGATGTGCACACTGTGGCGACACACCTGTATTACACCTGTTTAAAAACTGGGTTCATAGCAAGTTACATGGCATATTAAAATAATCAAATTACAGCAGCAATTTCCATTAGTTTACTTTTAATATAAGTGATTTGGCCCACTTAAAATGAAAAAGACAAAAATCTTGTTGTACATGAAATGTGTAGTATGTTATATGTGATAGTCCTGCTTTGGCCATGGGAAGAGTCCTGCTTTGGTCATGGGAAGAGTCCTGCTTTGGTCTGGGTAGAGTTCTACCCACGATTGGACCCTCTGTTCTTACTATTGTAAATAGTAGTATTGTGACAAGTGTGGTTCCCGATATTTTCAAACATGCAGTAGTTCATCCGTTAATTAAGAAACCTGGACTTAACCCTTCGATTTGCTCAAATTTCAGACCAAGCTCAAAACTTCCCTTCCTGTCCAAAATCCTGGAGAAAATAGTTTTCATTAAATTAAACAAGTTTTTGAATGAGAACAGAATCTTTGGGATTTTTCAATCTGGTTTTAAGCAACTCCACATCACTGAAACAGCATTAGTAAGGGTTTGTAATGATATTATGATATCAAACAATTCTGGTCAATTTGTGGTACTTGTGCTCCTGGACCTTACTGCTGCTTTTGATACTGTTGACCACAGTATCCTTATATCACGGCTGGAACAGTGGGTTGGGATCACAGGTGCTGCATTAGAATGGTTCCGCTCATACCTGAGTGGCAGGAGTTTCTGTGTCAAGGTTGGTAATAATGTATCGGCCTCATTACCTCTTTCTTGCGGGGTCCCACAGGGTTCGATTCTTGGACCCCTTCTGTTCTCACTTTATTTGCTCCCACTGGGGTCCATCCTGAGGAAACATGGTCTTTCATTCCATTGCTATGCTGATGACTATCAGATCTACCTGCCTGTGAAACCAGCAAGTATTTGCTCCATTCACCCTCTGTTAAAATGTCTGGACGACATTAACGCCTGGATGGCTTCAAATTTCTTAAGTTTTAACGCTGAGAAGACTGAAGTCATTGTCTTTAGCCCTAGCTCAACTGCCGCCACTGATCCTGTCAACCTGGACTCTCTTCAGCCATATCTGAAACAGTCTGGTAAAAATCTCGGGATAGTTTTAGACTCTGACTTCAAGTTTGACAAACAAATCAACTCTGTTCTGCAGAAAAGCTTCTTCCAACTCAGATAGGTAGCTAAGCTCAAGCCAGTGTTTTCCAGACCCGACCTAGAGAAACCAGTCCACGCCTTTGTCACGACCCGATTGGACTATTGCAATGCACTCTATGCTGGGATCAGCCAGGCCTCCATTTCACGTCTTCAGCTCGTCCAGAATGCTGCTGCTCGGCTTTTAACCGGAACTCGTAGGTCTGAACATATTACTTCAGTTCTGTCCTCCCTTCACTGGCTCCCTGTTCGTACGAGGATAGTTTTTAAAATTCTTCTGTTGACCTTCAAATACTTAAATGGCCTCGCACCCCTTTACCTCTCTGAGCTACTGGAACCTTACGTTCCCTCTCGGGCCCTGAGATCATCTGATCAGCTGCTTTTGGCTGTTCCAAAAACAAAACTGAAGCTCAGAGGAGATCGGGCTTTTTCAGTCATGGGCCCCAAACTCTGGAACAACCTGCCCCCCAACATCAGGCAGGCCACCTCCCTTCCTCACTTCAAATCCCTGCTTAAAACACATCTGTTCTCGCAGGGATTTCACACAGTGTAAATTGATCTAGTGTTTTTTTTAATCTATGACCCTATGTTTTAAATGCTTTTTATTAATTCTTCAGTTATTATTATTAGTGTATTGTATATATATATATATATATATATATATATATATATATATATATATCCTCGTTCGACGTGTGCAAAAGGAAAGTGAACGAATGGGACTGTACCTGAACATCAAAAAAACAAAAGTTATGACCACGGCAGGCAATGGTATAATGAACACGCAAATCAACAACACGGTAATCGAGTCTGTCCAAGATTTTATCTTTCTTGGTGCAAAAATGGACCGCAGTGGGGCTTCGGCTCCCGAGATCAAGAGACGAATTACACTTAGCAGGACTGCAATGCTGGGATTAGATAAGCTCTGGAAGAGCAAGGATATTAACCTTGTAACTAAAGTAAGACTAGTCAACGCAATTGTCTTCCCCATAATGATGTATGGCTGCGAAAGTTGGACGCTTAGGAAAGTAGAGAAAAGAAAAGTCGAAGCTTTCGAACTGTGGTGCTGGAGAAGAATGCTAAGAATACCTTGGACTGCTATGTTGACAAACAAGACAGTTTTGGACCGGGTCAAACCATCAATGTCCTTACTGGGCAAAATTACCAAACAGCAGCTCTCTTATTTTGGTCACGTGATGCGTGCAAATTCTTTGGAAACGTCAATGATGCTTGGAAAAGTCAGTGGAAAAAGAAGACAAGGCCGCCAAAGAACGAGATGGCTCGACACAATAACGACAACAATGAATATGCCAATTGCGGAATTGAAAAAATTGGTGAAAGACAGGGAGGCATGGAGTTCGAAGATTCATAAAGTGACCGAAAGTCGGATACGACTGATCGGATAATCATCATCA